TAATAATCAAAATTAAGATCTCAGTAGATAGGTTTAACACCATATTAGACACAGCTGAAGAGAAAATTAGATGGAAGATTGTCAGAAAAAAATCTCCACAATGAAGTACACAGAGACAATATTGAACAGAAGGGAGGTTACAAAATACAATCTGTTTATAATCATCAAAATGTATTAATTCCAAAAGGATAAAATGGAGGAAGATCATTTTGGTAAATTAAACATATGTATTTGACCTATAACCTGTAAATATATATACGTATATACACACATACATATACACAGATGTGTGTGTATGTATATATATATGTATATCTCGCTATATATATGTATATATATAGACACACATACATAAAATGTTATACACTTACTGGTTTTTAAAAGATAGATCTTATTTTAACAATCTATTATAATATAATGACGCTGTAAATGTATTTATCACTTTATAAAGGACTTTCACATACACCACTTTATCAAAACTTCACCATCTATTAGATAGGTATTACATTATCTCTATTTCATTTCATAGTATTCTATGTATGTAAGTGCAAAACTATCATTACATATTAAATAATAACTGTGATTAGTTTAAAATTTTAATAATAGGTGGTTGACATTGTACTAGTTGTTTTGACAGTCCCGTAAGATAAATCTTTTATTCTCCTGTTACTGAAGAGGAAATACTATATTTATTTCTAGGATAAGGACTTTCCACTTTCAAGAAAACTAAGTTAAAAAAAATTTAATATCTGAGTGAGGGGCATTGGTCTGGGCCTTCAGTTTCCTTTGCATTTTTCTTGAGTCTTGATAGATATGAAAAATGGACTATGAATGCCAAATAGTGCAAAAAGAATACCAGCCTAAAAATACTTTTTTTGTGACAGTGGACAAGTTTCTACAAATTCTGGAAACTGGGTAGCTCTAGACCAGAATTGAGCAACTGGTAGGTAGCCCTAGGGCAAGATCTATAGATTCACTGTGTTCGGCTTGTCTAATGAAGTGTATTGTGCATTTTTAAAAATTTGAATTAGTTGCCAATATCTGAGGGCCAGAAGAATTCTGCAAAAATCTACATTCCTAGTTTCTCTTAAAAAAATGAAAAGAACTGTGCACTCTGGGGCTGCATTCCATATAGTAGAAATGGACTACAGCTGCCCACTAGCATGTAAGTAGGTTCCTCCTCTCATTGTTATGTTTAGGCTGTGACTACAGCTATCATATTAAGATATCTAAAGACATAAATAGCTATGCTGTATCTATACTAGTATTTCACACTAATATCCATCCTAATACGGAATTTCTATAAAAAGGAAAAGACATGCAACTCTAAGGCCATTGCTATCCCAAGAGGGAGTATTCTGGCACTCTCTTGTGCCAGAGTTGTTTGCATTTGATATGACACCTTAGTCATGATAATCAAAACTGTCTTCAGACATTGCCAAATGTCCCTTGTGGGGGAAAAACCATGCCTGCTTGAGAACTCACTGCTATAACTGACAACTTTTAAGACTTGTGATATATGTTCTAAGACAGATTGGGGTATTTTAATTTCAACTTCACAGGTTAAGAAACTGTAGTAACTAGAGGGTAAAAATGTTGTGGAATGACTAGTTCCATTATTTCATCCATCTCTGTGGGCTTGACACAATTCATGGTTGTTAATCACAAATCTCTGTTAAGCACATTTGATATGCCAAACATTGTTTTTCGGTCTGGGGATAGAGAAGTGATAAACAGGTAAAATATCCTGTGCTTATAGACCTGATACTCACATGAGGAGACAGAAGGCAAACAAATAAATAGGAATACCATTTACAAAGACAGAAGTGATAAGCACAACAGAAAAGTCAGGAAGGGGAATAGAGAATGCCAATGAGGACAGGGTAGAAATTTGAAATAGGACAATCAAAGAAGTCTCATACAAAGATGATCCTTGAACAAGGAGTAAGCAATGTAGAAAGCAGAAGGAACATCTAGCACAAACTGCCTAAGGCAAGGGTTTGTTTGTAGAAAAGCAAGCAAACTCTGATGACTGGTTGATTTGGAACCACTTATGTTTAAATTAACTACTGATTTGGCTAAAACAAAGTTCTCTGATTTACTTCATTGTCAGCTTTGATATGGCAACTCCTTGATGTAGTTTCTTGGTGGATGGGGAACAGGGAAATATTGGTCCTGAGCAGCTTATAACCCTTTGAGAATGTGAAGTGATCCCAGCAATTGGAGAGTAAATTCCAAATGTTTTACCGATAGTTAGCTTCTGCAGTGCATCCCAAATGGGAAAAATGGTCTTTACACGTTCTCTTATCCCATATTTTCCTTTTTGGTTTCATCTAAAAGAAAAAAAATTTTTCTGGTTACAAAAGAGAGAAAAATACTGGTCAAAAGTGAGTTATTTTCTTAAAAAGTAATCTACAGTGATGAGACAGAGCTATATTATTACCTGATCAAAGAAATAGATTGGCCCAGTGTCCAAAGGTTTAGTTTCAATAATCTTCCATTGAGCCATGAGACCTAAGAAGGATAAAATGGAAATGTGAAGACAAGTTATCATGTCTGTAGGCAATATTTCAAAGCACTTGATGGTTTTAAAGTTTAAATGTTTTATTTTCAATTAAGTATACACAAATTTTAAGGAAGGAGCACAACCATCCCTTTACCTCTATTTTCATTTTATGGGCTATTGACTTGACATAGATGCAGTCAAAAGGATTGCATGCTTATGTCAATACTGATTTTCTCAACCTCAGCACTATTGACATTTTGGGCCAGGTAATGCCTTGTGGTAAGGAGCTATCTTGTGCTTCGCAGAATGTTTAGCAGTATCTTTGGCCTCTACCTGCCAGATGCCAGTAGCAAACCCTCTTACCCAGTTATGACAACAAAAAAGTATCTCCTGATGCTGCCAAGTATCTCTGGGGATCAAAACTGCCCCTTGTTGTGAATGACTGTGCTGATGTAAGGGCCAGGAAAAAATGGCTTGACAGGGAATGAACTGATTGCTTGTGAACATGAGTGATACTACTGATGACAGGACCATTAGAGCAGTACGATTCAAAATGAGGTACCTGGACAAGCAGCATCACTATCACCTGAGACCGTTAAATGGCCTCATGGGTTTGCACTGAAGAAGATGAGTACACAATGGAGGACTGGACAACAGCAACAGCATCAAAGAACTGGGACATGCAGTGGCTGGAGGATCATTAGCTATTATTATTAATGAGAAAAATTTTCAAAGGCTCAGGCTTGACTAGCTCTGTTTTACAGAGAAGTAAGAGAATATGTTTCAAATGAGACTTGAAGGACACCAAAAGCTCCTGTTTATCTAAACATCTCTCATTGTCCTGCCACTGTGGGCAAAAATTCCACTTTGAATAAATCCAATTGTCTACAAAATCCCTGGTTAAAGTATAAATACAGGCACTTATGCTATAACATGACGTATATATTTGTAGAAAACCTCATGCACTGCAACATTGTGCACTAAAAAGAAGGATTATGGGAAAAATAGGATTAGGACACACCACTTAAAACCTATGCCACTTTGTAACCACAGCACAAAAGAGTAACAGTAATTGGTACCTCATGACAAGCATAAATAGCCCAGGCAGGCACCTGTGGCCAGAAGCTGCTCCATGGGATAGTTAAAAAAAAAAAGAGTAGGAACACAAACTTATGAGTACTGAAATCATGTGGATGAATTAGAGTTTCTTACCAGTGGGGTTGATTTTAAGGTGGGCACATAAAGATGTCAAACCTGCCAGAATCTGAGAGCCATAAGTCTGGAGATATGCCTTTCTGGAAAGGGGTCCCTGTGTACTAGTGCTCATTTTTATGTTTTTTCTTAAGAGTTGAAAGAGCCCTTGTCTATGTAGCTGCTGAGCTGAAGGCTTTTTCTTGTCCTAATAAAGGTTATAATTCCATTACTTCTGTGGCCCCCCTTTTCATTAGAAAAATCAAGTATGAAAAATTGAGGATGACAACTTCCAGGTTATACAACATCATTCACTTATCTAATAATCATTAGCTAATTTGCATTACAGAAACACAACTGGGGTAAAACAGACTACATATTTCCTTGGGAGGAGAGAAGAAATAGTTTAAACAATTGAGTATGTAGTGTTTCAATGGGTTCATTACCAGCTTGAAACATAGAGAAGAGGCCCTGAGGAAATCAGGGAGGTAAGTATGGCAAGAGAAGGAAGTAAAAGGATGGTCCTGAGAACATCAAAGAACTTCAAACAGTTCTAACCTACATCTACAATAAGAGGAAAGCTGGAATTGTCAAAAATCAGACACTAAGAGTACCATACATTCCTCAAAAAATAGAAGATCTTCCCTACTAGTCTATGAGGCCAGCATTACTCTGATATGAAAACAAAAAACATCACAAAAATAAAACCACAATTCAAATGACATCATTACATCTAGGGCTTTCTGCAGCTACAAGGTGGCAGTTATGAAAAGCATGGCCTTCTGTATCAGTATCTAAAAAGCAGCCACCACCTTCATCTTTGTGTGTTCCCTTTTTTTCATTTTTCCTTAATTTTTCTTAATCAACTCTGCTGTTGTTGCTGCTTCTTAGCAAAACTAATAAAAACAAAATTGTACTCATTGAATGAAGCATTCTGGGCATCAGACATTTAAAACCTTCACTCTGTGGGAAAAGGAAATTCACAATATGAAAGGCAAATATACAGTAAGTCCTGAATATCACTTAAATAAGCCAGCATATAGGTTAAAAACAATTAAAAAATTGTAAAAGCAATTATAATTACAATAAACAGTAAAAGGATAAACATGAAGATGTAAAATCAGACATCAAAATTGAAAATATGGGGAAGGGGAGTATAAAAATGTAAATCTTTTAGAATGTGTTTCAATTTGAATGACTATCAGTTTAAAGCAATAGATATAGTTATGGATCAACATATTTGGACTCCATGGTAGCCACAAATCAAAAACATACAAAAAATTCACAAAAACAAAAAACAAAAAAGGAACTCAGGCATACTACAAAAGAAAATCATCAAACCACAAAAGGAAAAACAAAAAGAAGACAAGAACAAAGAAGAACTACAAAAACAACTGGAAAACAAGGATTAAAATAGCAATAAGTACATACCAATCAATAACTACTTCAAATGTCAATGAACTAAATACTCCAATCATAAGACACAGAGTGGCAGATTGGATTTAAAAAAAAAAGGAAGAACCTGCAAGATGTTGCTTACAAAAGACTCACTTCGGGATGAAAGACACATACAGACTGAAAGTGAGAGGGTGGAACAGATATTTCATGCAAATAGAAAGGACAAGAGGGTAAGGGTAGCAATACTCATATCAGACAAAATAGACTTTAAAATAAAGGCCATAAAGAAAGACAAAGAAAGGCATTATATAATGATGAGAGGATCAATAAAAGAAGAGGACATTATACTCGTTAACACATACAAATCCAACACAGGAGCACCTAAGTATATAAAGCAAATACTAACAGATATAAGGGGAGAAACTGACAATAATACAATGATAGTTGGAGATTTTAACTCTGACATCAATGAAGAGATCACCCAGATAGAAAATCAATAAAGCAGTAAGGTCTTAAATGGTACAATACAATAGACGAATTGGACTTAAGTGATATCTACAGGACACTAAATCCTCAAAAGACAGAATACACATTCTCTCCATGTGCACATGGAACTTTCTCTAGGAGAGACCATGTACTAGGTCATAAAATAACCCTCAACAAATTTAAGAGGATAGAAATTATTTCAAACATCTTTTCTGACCACATGGTATGAAACTCTAGATTAACCACGTAAAGAAAAATGAGAAAAGAGCAAACACATGGAGACTAAACAACATGCCACTAAAAAACCAATGGGTCAACAATGAAATCAAAAAATAAATCAGAAAATACCTCAAGATGAACAGAAAAGAAAGCAAACATTTATAAAATCTATGGTAATGCAGCAAAAGTAGTTCTAAGGGGGAAGTTCACAGTGATATAGATCTTCCTGAAGAAACAAGAAAAATCTCAAATAAACAACCTCACTTATGACCTAAAAGATCAGAAAAAGAACAAACAAAACCCAAACTCAGCAGGAAGAGGGAAATAATAAAGATCAGAAAGGAAATAAATAAAATAGAGATAAAAACAATAGAAAATATCAATAAAACCAAGAGCTTGTTTTTTGAAATGATAAACAAAATCAAGAAACTAGCCAGGCTCACCAAGAAGAAAAGAGAGAGGACCCAAATAAATAAAATAAGAAATGAAACAGGAGAAATAACAACTGATATTCCAGAAATACAAAAAAAAAAGACAATACTATGAACAATTATATGCCAACAAATCGGAAAACCTAGAAGAAATGGACAAGTTTTTAGAAATGTGCAGACTTCCAAAACTGAGTCAAGAAGAAAAGATAATTTGAACAGACAGATCACTAGAAGTGAAACAGAATCTGTAATTCAAAAAAAGCTCCCTGCAGACAAAAGTCCAGGATCAGATGGCTTCACTGGAGAATTCAACCAAACATACAAAGAAGAACTTTCATCTATTCTTCTCAAACTATTCCAAAAAACTGAAGAGGAGGGAACAGTCCCGAATTCATTCTATAAGGCCACCATCACCCTCATAACAAAAGCAAACAAAAACACTACAAAAAAAAAGAGAATTACAGGCCAATATCTTTGATGACTACAGATGCAAAAATCCTCAACAAAACATTAGCAAACCAAATGTAACAATATATAAAAAGGATCATACACCATGATGAAGTTGGATTCATTCCAGGGTCACAAGGATTGTTCAACATATGCAAATCAATCAATGTGATACACCACATTAACAAAAGGAAAGACAAAAACCACATGACCATTTCAATAGATGCAGAAAAAGCATTTGACAAAATTCAACATCTATGCATGATAAAAAAAAAATCTCACCAAAATGAGTACAGAGAGAACACATCTCAACTTAATAAAGGCCATTACAACAAATCCACAGCCAACTTAATATTCAATGATGAAAGGCTGAAAGCCTTCCTGCTACTGTCACCACTTCTATTCAACTTAGTATTGGAAGTCATAGCCACAGCAATCAGACAAGAAAAAAAATAAATAAAAGGGATCCATATTGGAAGGGAAGAGGTAAAACTGTCACCATATGCAGATGACATAATACTATATATAGAAAACCCTACAGATTCCACACAAAAACTACTAGAACTGATACACAAATTCAGCAAGGTAGCAGGATACAGGATTAACATATAGAAATCTGTTGCATTTATTTACATCAACAATGAAATATCAGAAAAGTAAAGTAAAAAAACAAAAACTCTTTTAAAATCACATTAAAAAAATACTTAGGAATAACCTGACCAAGGATGTGAAAGACTTGTATGCTGAGAACTGTAAAACACTGACAAAGGAAACTGAAGATGACTCAGAGAAATGGAAAGCTATCCATGCTCTTGGATGGGAAGAATTAATGTTGT